TTTGTCAGATGGGTGACTAGCATTGTGTGAAGACCAAAGGTCTGCATGAATGATTGCATTTTTAATGAATTGACTGGCTATTTGGCATCCCATGAACAGAATTTAATGCTGTGTACTGCAAACTGCTGTGAAGGATAATAGAGAGAGCTTTTCCAAGGCCTATTTTCAGTCCTAGAAGAGGGAGGAGGCTCCATTTTAAGGTTGGTGAGGGTTGGTTCCTTTAGACCTACAAGCCAAGAGGGGAGCATCCTTGTCCATTGGGGTCTAAGATGGGAACTTGTCCCTCAGATTGCAGGTTGGTGAGTGCTGTGCGTTCTGGGAATTCTTCCTGTATGAGACAGAAGCCAATTCAAAGTTTGCTCTTGTTGGTTGTGTCTTAAGTGGTGCAAGTAGAAGTGTGTGTTAAGCATGTCTGCTGCCAGCAAAATGGTGCTTTTGTGCAAGTTACAAAAAGATACCCTTTCCTGGCTGGTGAGTTGTAAAAAAGTACTCTGTCTTGGTCTACTCAAGGTTTGGGAATGAAGCACTGGCTGAATTCAGTTCCTACACTCCAGCCACAACCTCACCTGCCAGCCCTATGCATGAGAGTGTGTGCGGGTAGAGTGTATAGTTCAGTTGCTCAGTCGTGTCCGACTCTTTGTGACCCCATGGACTGAAGCACGCCAGGCCTCCGTGTCCATCACCAACTCCCGGAGTTTACTCAAACTCATGTCCATGGAGTCGGTGATGCCACCATCTCATCCTCTGTCGTCCCCTTCTCCTCCTGCCCTCAATCTTTCACAGAATCAGGGTCTTTTCAAAGGAGTCAGTTCTTCATATCAGGTGGCCAGAGTATTGGAGTTTCAGCTTCATCATCAGTCCTTTCAGTGAATATTCAGGACTGATTTCCTTTAGGATGGATTGGTTGGATCTCCTTGCAATCCAAGGGACTTTCAAGAGTCTTCTCCAACATCACAGTTCAAAAGTATCAATTCTTTGGTGCTCAGCTTTCTTTATAGTCCAACTTTCACATCCATACAATGACTACTGGAAAAACCATAGCTTTGACCAGACGGACTTTTGTTGGCGAAATAATGTCTCTGCTTTTTAATATGCTGTTCAGGTTGGTCATAGCTTTTCTTCCAAGGCGCAAGCGTCTTTTGATTTCATGACTACAGTCACCATCTGCAGTTATTTTGGAGCCCAAAAAAATAAAGTCTGTCACTGTTTCCATTGTTTCCCCATCTATTTGCCATGAAGTGATGGGACTGGATGCCATGATCTTAGTTTTCTGAATGTTGACTTCTAAGCCAACTTCTTCATTCTCTTCTTTCACTTTCAGCAAGAGGCTCTTTAGTTCTTCTTCACTTTCTGCCATAAGGGTGGTGTCACCTGCATATCTGAGGTTATTGTTATTTCTCTTGGCAGTCTTTATTCCAGCTTGTGCTTCATCTAGTCCAGCATTTCTCATGATGTAATCTGCATATAAGTTAAATAAGCAGGATGACAAGATACAGCCTTGACATACTCCTTTCTTGATTTGGAACCAGTCTGTTGTTCCATGTCCAGTTCTATCTGTTGCTTCTTGACATGCATACAGATTTCTCAAGAGGCAGATAAGGTGGTCTGGTATTCCCATCTCTTTCAGAATTTTCTATAGTTTGTTGTGATCCACACAGTCAAAGGCTTTGGTGTAGTCAATAAAGCAGAAATAGATGTTTTTCTGGAACTCTCTTGCTTTTTCAATGATCCAGTAGATGTTGGCAATTTGACCTCTGGTTCTTCTGCCTTTTCTAAATCCAGCTTGAACATCTGGAAGTTCACGGTTCATGTACTGTTGAAGCCTGGCTTGGAGAATTTTGAGCATTACTTTACTAGCATGTGAGATGAGTGCAAGTAGTTTGAGCATTCTTTGGCATTGCCTTTCTTTGGGATTGGGATGAAAACTGACTTTTTCCAGTCAGTCACTGCTGAATTTTCCAAATTTGCTGGGATATTGAGTGCAGCACTTTCACAGCATCATCTTTTAGGATTTGAAATAGCTCAACTGGAATTCCATCACCTCCGCTAGCTTTGTTCATAGTGATGCTTCCTAAGGCCCACTTGACTTCGCATTCCAGGAGTGGTTAGGCACACCCTCAAAGATGGGAGAGGGTAGGGTTGGAACTAGAAGGCTGGGAGGGGGCTGGCCCAAAGCCTGCCCTAGGAGCTGTCTTTATGCAGCTCTTCCCTCACTCCTCCAAGGCTGATCTGATTCCATTCTCATGTCCTCTCTGAAGGTGCATATTTGTGGTGTACACATTGGCTATCCTCAGGCAGGGCTCCCTGAATCCAGTTTAATATTCCTTGTTCAAGGCTCTGAAATAGGTACAGCAGGGACATTCATGGCTGATGAGGAGCTAGGATGGTATAATTGTTGGGTGGTGGAGGTAGTGATGTAGCAAACCAAACATAGTCCATTATTTCTGTAAATCATATATTTCTGAAAACATGTACTAAATGTCCAGAAATCACACAAAAGGTGTAGATGCTATGGGAGGAATTCTTAGAGAGCTAAAAATATTATAAAATCCCTAACAATCCCTTTACTTTTTAACAGCTTTATCAAGATATAATTCACATACCACACAATTCATCTAAGTATAAAATTAATGTGGGTTTTTTGGTATGTTTACAGAGTTATACAACTGTTCCCCTTTACTTTTTTTTAATACATTCTTTAATGGTATTAGTTTTAGCATTATGGACACATTCTTTGATTTTCCTTCTCAGAATAGTTAGTCAAGTAATAAATGTCAAATGATAGCCAATCAAATGATAAAAGTCAAGATCATTGAGTTGGCTGGTTGGTTTGCAGTATCCCCAGAGGGTCGGGTTTTCATGTCCAGTCACTGGTTACACACATGCAGGGAAGTTTAGGGCAGAACTCTGGGTCATGTGAATGTCACACCTGGGGCCTTGAGGAGGGCCTGCATCAGGATTCCTGCAAAGGGAGCCTGGCGATGCCACAACATGTTTACAGAGGAAGCACCATGGGAGGTCAGGGGTGATTGAATTAAGCTGTAGACAGTTTGGAAGGGCCTCACAGCAAAGGGGACTGGTGTGATCAGCCTTGGAGCATAAGAGAGCTAGGGGGCAACCTGGAAAGAGATGAGATTGCAAAGGTGGAGTGAGGCCATATTGTGGAAAACTTTGAATCTTAGACTGTGAAGGTAACTTCAATTTTTATTCCTCACGCCAAGGAGACTGAAGGGTTTTGAGTAGGGCAGTGGACATTCGGGCTCCAATTCTGGGGGAATAATTCTGAGAGTGGTTGAAGGGCCAATTAGGAAGCTGTGGCAGAAGTTCAGGCGGGAGGTCATAGGAGCCTAAAAGAAGCAGGTGAGGTAAGAAAGGAAAGATGGGACATATTTAGAAAACATTTCAGAGATAAGAGTCTATAAGCACTGATTGTTTAGCCACCTCAGTGTATCTAAACAAGGAGATGAGGAAGGGAAAGGGGCTGAAAAAATCCAAGATTCCAGAAGAATGATGTTGCCAGTAAGAGATCGTCAAATCAAGATGGTTTGGTGCTTTGATGGTTTGGTTTTTAACATTTCACCTCATAGGAGCCAGTGATATATCCAGATAGTAATGTGGTCTGGATATCAGATTAGAGGTGAGGTTGGAGATTTGAGGAGGCTTAGCACAAAGCCTGTGATTATTATTTTGGGAATCAGATAGACACAAATTCAAATCTTGGCACTGCTTCATATTAGCTGTGTGACTTGGGAAAATATCTTCATTATTCCAAGAAGCTGGAAATGAAGCTAATAATATTACCTAAGGGTTATTGTATCACTGTCACGATGGACATGAGTTTTAGTAAGCTCCGGGAGTTGGTGATGGATAGGGAAGCCTGGCATGCTGAAGTCCAGGGGTCGCAAAGAGTTGAACAAGACTGAGTGACTGAACTGACTGACTGAAGGGTTGTTGTGAAAAGGAAATGGGTTAAGGTTTTGACATGCCTTAGCACCATGTGGTAAATTCTCAGTAGATGGCAGATTTTATTTGGGATCACCTGTTGAAGCTATGGAGTGTATGGATAAAATTCTGGGAGAAAGAGTGTAGGAAGAAAAGAGGTGGATGAGGAGCAGGAGAAGGGGAGATGGAGGCTCTTGACCAGCCACAGAGGCCACAGGCTGGAAAGTGACCTCCTTTTTCCAGGGTGCTCCCAGGGTCTGGAGATGTCCATGGGAGCCATGACAAATGTGACTCAGGATGGAGGAAGGGAGAGAGGAGAGGAAACATAAAGAGAAGGGAAGAGAGGAGCAGAGCACCCCAGAGCTGGGGCAGGACACGCTTACTGCTAGAAAGTGATGCCATTCTGATGGAATATACACAGGCTCAAGTCAAAATCATAGAAGTCCACTCCAGTGACCAAAAAGCAATTCTAAAAAACATCATTCTTATTTTTCTTAAACTCGATGAGGGAAATAAATATTTAACAAACAGGTCATGACCACATTTTCTGCAGTTACCTTTCTCCCTCATCCACTCCTCTCTCCGTCCTCAGAGATACTCCCAAACTTTTCTCTCTCCTCTCTGTCTTTTGCCCCTGGCCCCTTTGTCTCTCTCCCTTTACCAAAACCAAACAAAATAGCAGCAGGAACATTTTCTCCTAATCTCACCTCCCTGTCTCTCTGCTTTCTCCCTACAAAAAAAATTAAGATTCATAAAAGCCTCAAGGATGGTGGAAAAATAAAACCAGAATCCTCCTTAGGGATCTGGGGGAAAGGAAAACTTCCAGATTAGTTATTTCTCTCCTATCACAGGAGTTTCATCTCACCTACAAACCATCATTTAAAAGAAAAAGAGAGAAAAGAAATGTCCCAGTGTTAAGCTGCACTTTACAATGACCCCAGTGCCTAGATGCTGAGCCTGTGCCTTGAACACATCAAGGGCAGCTTCCCAAGGTGGGGTCCCTTACCATCTGACCTAGCCACCTCTCTCCTAAGCCTGAAAGCAAAGCCCAGCCTTACCTGTCGATGCTGATGGCACACAGGTTCAGGATGCTGGCTGTGCACATCATGACATCCAGAGTGACGAAAACATTGCAGCAAACTCGGCTGAAGTTCCAGACCCCACCTGTCACCTGGGCATCAGAGACAAGGATGTTAGTGTTTCCTCCCAGCAAAGGGACAGCAACCCAGTCGACTCTATTGCCTTCCCTGGGCTGTCTGTCTTGCACAGATGGAGACACGCCCTCCCTGTGGGTACTGCCTCATCACCAAGGGCAGGCAGACCTCGAGCAAATGTCAGGGTGCCCAAGATTGCTTACCTGAGAAAGAATAAATTGGTGGAATGTCAGTATTGAAATGGATCTTCTGAATCAAATATTCCAGCGTTTCTCAAAGTGCAGTCCACAGTGGGGTGTTCATTAAAGATGTAGATTTCTGAACCCTTTCCTGGACCAACTGAGTCACAGTGTCTGGATCTGGAGCCCATGAATCATCTTTTTAAAATGAACACCCCCCCCCCCCGCAATCACACCAAGATTTGTGAATCACTGATCTGTTTCAACTAAAGAGTTTCTTGATGAAAGTGAAAGAGGGGAGTGAAAAAGCTGGCTTAAAACTCAACATTCCAAAAACAAAGATCATGGCAACTGGTTCCATCACTTCATGGCAAATAGATGGGGAAACAATGGAAACAGTGCAAGACTTTATTTTCTTGGGCTCCAAAATCACTGCAGATGGTGATTGCAGCCATGAAATCAAAAGACGCTTGCTCCTTGGAAGAAAAGCTATGACCAACCTGAACAGCATATTAAAAAGCAGAGACATTACTTTGCCAACAAAGGTCTGTCTAATCAAGGCTATGGTTTTTCCAGTAGTTATGTATGGATGTGAGAGTTGGACTATAAAGAAAGCTGAGCGCTGAAGAATTGATGCTTTTGAACTCTGATGTTGTATAAGACTCTTAAGAGTCCCTTGTACTGCAAGGAGATCCAACCAGTCCATCCTAAAGGAAATCAGTCCTGAGTATTCATTGGAAGGACTGATGCTGAAGCTGAAACTCCAATACTTTGGCCACCTGATACAAAGAACTGACTCATTGGAAAAGACCCTGATGCTGGGAACGATTGAAGGTGAGAGGAGAAGGGGACAACAGAGGTTGAGATGGTTGGATGGCATCACCAACTTGATGGACATGAGTTTGAGTAAACTCTGGGAGTTGGTGATGGACAGGGAGGCCTGGTGTGCTGCAGTCCATGGGGTCACAAAGAGTTGGATACAACTGAGCAACTGAACTGAACTGATCTGGTTCAAACTCAGGAGGCAGCTAAAGCTCATTGTGGTTAAGTGATGTGCCCGTAGATACACAGCTCATGGTAAAAGAGCTTGGGTGACTGCCAAATGTGTGCACTGTGCCAAGACTACCTCTTCGAAGCCCTCCACCCAGTGGAGAGCTCACCCTTTTCAGGAAATAAACTGAGAACACATTTTTCATAAACCTTCCCTCCACAATGAAAGTCTGTCTGGCTTCTAATTTTAAAGCTTGGAAGCTTTAACAGCATCTGTAAGAGCCTATGTAAAATCAGTCTGTGCCATTGCGCCCGCCTTCATCACCGTGCTCCTGCTCACCAAGACATGGGGGGAAAGGTGTGTCCAGGGCATTGGAAAGGGGCCCAGATCCTCTTCACTACTCACAGAATCAGAGAAGATGGTTCTGACCTCATGCATGTACACACGTGTTCCGAGCTCCATAACTCTTCCAAGTAACATATATAAATAAGTCAGGAATTTAGATGATTTCTGTTATATTCTAGCACCTTTCTATTTTATTAATTTTTTTTTCACATAACCTAATTGAGCCAGAGAGATATGTCAGGGAGACTGTCACTTTTATGCACAAATGCCACTCTTGGGGCTGGAGGCTTTTTGCTTTTGCCAGCTTCCAGCCCCTGGGGCTGCAACTCTTGGGCACCATGGGTCTCAAGGGGAAACCTGTGAAGCTGGCCCCTTAGGCTTAGTTGGGTGTTCATGATAGCTCTGCTGGCAGGCCAAATGGCTATTTAAGAGAAAGGGGAGTAAAACATAGATTCAGTAGCCTCTGAAGTAGCTTCTCAAGGAAAAAACTGCAAACAATAGTACATGAAAATGCTGTTGTTCCTCTAATTCTTCTCATCCAAAAGTCTTGTTATATCACCAGACCACTTCACTGGATATCCTTGTTTTATGGCATTAATGCACGTTCCTGAAAGGGTCTCTCTCTTTCCCCTCCACTAATAACTTTTCCCCATAGAATTATTTCCTTTTCAGCATTTGATCTTTTCCCTATATTTGGTTATCTCCAGGCTATAGTATGAGAAACTCTGACCAAAAGTATTTTAAGAGCAACAATGAAAAGTTCAAATTAGTGATGAAGTCATCATTTTTGTTCATTTAGTTGTGGATTTACTTTCTCTTAGTCTAGTCATTTAGTGCTATGTAAATAAAAGCCTAATAATGAATATATAGGAATTCTGAAAATGAAAAATTTTCTAAAGGGACATGTGTTTAAGGCAGCCAGGAGAATAGAAGAGGGTTTTGCTCAGTCCACAGGACAGTTCTATGCTGTAAAAGCTTCTTGCAAAAGGTGAAATTTGTATGTAGTAGTGTGTTAGTCACTCAGTTGTGTCTGACTCTCTGTGACTCTGTGGATTGTAGCCCGCCAGTCTCCTCTGTCCATGGCATTCTCCAGGCAAGAATTCCGGAGTGGGTTGCTATACCCTCTTCCAGGGGATCTTCCCAATGCGGGGATCAAACCCGCAGGCAGAATCTGCATTGCAGGCAGATTCTTTACTGTCTGAGCCACCAGGAAAATTTGTATGCTACATCTCTTTTAACATCTCTTTGTATGCTAATGTATTTATGTAACTTAAATTGGGGAAAACCTTTTTTTTTTTTTTTGGTGAAATTGTGAGTGCCTGTTTGTTTATGTGTGTTGGGGGACTGTGTAAGTGAGAGAGGATCATTAGAACAGTAGCCAACCCCAAGCTTGCTGGATGTCCTGTTTATTCATTTGTTTATTCATTCATTCATCCATAACACAAGTACCTGCAAAACTCCTATTAGTTCATTGGAGGAGGGTATGTGTTTTTTCAAAAAAGTTCTTCAGGCCCCGTCCTTGTAGAGAACTGAAGAAGCAAGCCATTCTAAATAAAATAGAGATCATCATGAGATCCTAATATCATTAATAAAAGTTAACATTTATTGAGAACTCAGTCTATGTGGGTCACCAATCCACATGACCCATTGCAGAAATTTCTGTAACTTTGGAACTTGATCCCTGAGGTTTTTTTTTTTTTAAGCTGTATGTGCTCTCAAAGCTTTTTGAGGACAAATTATACACTTATTTGATAGGAAATTAAATGACTGCTATTTAATCAATCCGATAGGAGCAAGGAGTTTTTCTTGTTTGCTGCTGCATCCCTCTCCTAGAGGAATCCCAGCCTGCAAATATATTCTGACAGGATGAAGGGTCTCTGACATAATCTTTGTTAATACTAGCAATTACATACATGGCCTCTGTGGCTGGTTATTGTCCTGTGAGAGAGGACTGTTGTTATCTTCATTGATGAGAAAGAGACTAATGTTTGAAGAGGTGCAGCACCTTGGCCCAGGAAGGCATGGCTTGTTACACATCGCTGTATGGGGGTGTCAGGTGAGGAGGGGGCAGCTGTTGGAAAGGGTTGGAAGTGGGTGGACACAAGGAGGAAGAGAAAATCACATGCTCATCAGGGAATTTTGTGGGACGGACCACATCACCCCCTTCCAGGGAATGGGAGACCTTCTGATTGCTTGCATCCCAGGGTTGCAGAAAAACAGTGCAAAACAGTGGGGGCCCGCTGACTTTGGAGCTAGTGAAAGTACATACCTGGCCGGTCCCTGGTCTCTTGAGCTCCTCAGGGCCAAAGCCCCCAAGCTGTCCTCTGGCTTCCAGGCCCCCACTGTACTACCCCATTCTGGCTCTCCTCTCCTCCAGTCTCCAACTCTGCCAGCAAAATACTCACTCTCCCCTTGATCTCAGCTCATTGTCAAGAGGAAAACAACCTGATTAGCTATTTAAGTAATTCCCACTAAGGTGCCATCACTTGGCCTTCTCTGGAGCTTGCTCGTCAAGATGTGTCTTTAATTGGTGGTATGTATAATGAAACTACCTTTATTTTTTAAAAACGAGCCCTCCGCACCAAGTGAATAATAGTGAACAATCAGTAACAGCCAAGAACATGCTAAGTAACTCTCACAGCAACCCAATGAGGTAAATATTCTTTCCAATTTATCGATAAAGAAATGGGAGTCTGAGAGGGGTTGAATAATTTGCCGAAGGACACATAGCTAGTAAAAGTAGCTGGAATCTCAAACCTTAATGTTAACCGTTACTCTGCGTTGCCTCTCAGAGGTCAGCACCTTGACACGCTGCCTCTGAGACATATACAATTTAGCTCCATTCTCTTACCACAGGAGGGGGAAGACTTGTCCTTGGTCCATCCATCCACCCACGTGGCCAGTGTTTATTGAGGGCCCATTATGGGGCTGATGCTTTGCTGAGATGGGTGTACTGAAATGAATTAAACTTGTGAGATATTAAACTGTATTGTGAGGCCAGAATATAGTGCGTGTGCAGGCTGGGGGGTGGCGGGGGGTGGCGGGGGAGCGGGAAGTCATGTGTGAATCGGAAGGGGTGAACTGAAGGCCCAGGAGAGGCACACTTAGAAAATATCTATGATAAGTGCTGACAGTGAGATGAGTACAGTGTTGGGAGAAAATGGAAGGTAAAGTGATTTTTGAAATTAAAGCAGGAGAAAAGCAGAAAAAAGAAATCTGATTGATTTAAGGCTTTTTGAAATGTGATTCTACCTTTCCCCTAAATTTTAATGAATAACTCACTTCAGAATTAAACAGCAGCCAGGTGGTGTTACTCTCACTTGCTAATGAATCTAACTGACTCCCTTTGGCAATACAGAAGGCGGGGGAGCAGGAGAGTGTCTTCAGGTACTGAAGTTGGCTATTGATTTTCAGCAGGCACAGCCTCCAGCAGCATTTCCCAAATTTACTGATAAGGCAGCATTTTCCAAATCACCTGAGGCTCTTGTTAAAATGATTTTTA